TTTCAGTAACAATCCATGGTGAGTTTTGAAGAATTGCTTACATGGAGATTTACCATCCATAAATAGTTTTTTTTTGTCAACATTTATCATGCAGTAAGTCCAAAGCTAAACACATTGGTTGTGATACATATCCAAATATGAGCACCAAAAATGAGGACTCAACCAGATATGGAAACCACCACTGCTGGACAGCAATCACCAATTTGATCAAATTAACAAATTGACAACTTAGTAAGACCAATCCAAAACATTTTCTTGGTAGTTTATTGTTTCATCTGTCCCTGTATTTTCATTGTCGTTACTTGTACATTCATACTGGTTACATTACATGGAATGATAGTTGATTGTCGGGCTTACCACATGACTGGGAAAACTTTGGTTGATAGGGAAAATGATATAAAATGGACACTAAACTAAACCATATCGATAGACCCTTTCTGGAGGGATTTCATATGCTTACTGTTGAACGAGGATGGCATCACACACACACACAAACACACCCCAAAAATACGAGGATTCTGATAGGAAGCAACTTGGGTTTCAACTTTTCGCCCGCTGCCGAGGTGTTGTACACCGATTTCCTCATTTTGCTTCGCTTGAAAGGCAAGTGGCAGATCATTAGCATCTTGGCAGCGTGGAAGGGTCAAAGTGCGACAGGCAAGGGAGCAAGGAAAGCCTCTGAGTTTCAGAATGATGGCTCAGTATCTCCTCATCGAGATTCATCATCAGCAAATCATCCAACAACTCATCTCAAATCATGCTATTTTCCTGGTTCGCTGGATTGACTGCAAGGATCTTCGAGTGATCTCCACCCTGACACACTATTCTGACATAGTTTCTGACATATCACATATCATGTGGACATATATATATATATGGCATATATATTCTGACATTCTATCTGGCATGTACTCTGAAATTCTTCCTGGCATTCTTCTGGCATTCTATTTGGCACCTATTTTGACATTCTTTCTGGCATCATCTGGCATCTATTCTGGTACTCTCTCTGGCATCTATTCTATTCTGACATTCTGCATTCTATCTGGCAGTCTTTCTGGCATTCTATCTGACATATCTTCTGACATTCTGTCTGGAGTTCTATCTGGCATTCTCTCTGGCATGAGTTCGGGTCCAGGCGCAATCCTGGGCTGGCGATTTGGAGTTTGGGTCCAGGCACGCTGCACGCTCCACAGCATCCTGGGCTGGTGATTTGGTGTTCTGGAGGAGGAGGTGGAGGAGGAAGAAGAGAAGGAGAAGGAGTTGCACCTTTCTTAAAATCTAGAGACCCTCACCTGGCAGGTGGGGAATAACGGGGCACCAGGGTTTGGACACCAAATTTTAGGATCTGTTGACTTTCCAAGCACCGAGGCAAAGTCTTCTCGGCTGTCCCTCTGTCGCAGCTCTGGTACACGGAGCGGTTGGCAAGGGTGAGATGGGGAAAATCCATCATCCATCATGTCGGAGGCTGATGAAAATAACGGTGAGGTTGGGGTGTTTGATGTTGATCACTCATGTTCTGTTTCTACAACTCTGAAGTCTTTCAGCAGGCGGCACCGATCAGCAGACAGAGCCAACTTGTACCTCAACCAGACCCTTCAAAACATTCCAACACATTTCATCCCAAAATGATGGCTGTCCACTGCGTGGCAGGAGCCCTACGACACCTTAGCCTTCGCGGCCAGCGACCCGGTGAGGGGTGTCTTGGAATACTTTCGTGGCGGTCACCTTTCGAATCTTGCCTGCATGGGGGAAACATGAGGAGGTAATTACAGTAGTCTTGGAGATTAGAGGCAATAAAACATGATCAAACATGGGGATTTCTTAAGTCTTACCAACTGCGTCAGCTTTCGCGTGCTAACAAACAGGGTTTTGACACCAAGCAATGGTAATCGTGCCAAAAACATGGTTTGTGGCCAAAAGGAATGGCGATTGAACCAATGGTCACTGGATTAAGTGATGATTAATCCAATTTTGGACCATTTCTAGATTGAAGCAACCACAGTGGACATGCACCCGGGTCATCGCTCAGGAGGCCTGACATCTTGAGTCAGAACTTCCACGAGGCGGGCATCCAGAAACCATCACTGGTGCATTTTTGATATAGGATTTGATAGGATTTAATGGGATTATATATGGGATTTAATGAGATTTATACGGGATTTAATGGGGATTTAATTTTTGAGAGGGTTGAACGCACATGTATACTAGCCTCTTCGGGGACAAGCTCTGACTTGACAATGGACTTTTTATGTATAGGTATACCATCTACAAATGCAACATTTTCCAGTGACATGCTTAAGCACGGTTGTATACCAACTACCAAACCCAACTGCATCCTCAACAAGAACCTCTCTTGTTTCAGGTGGCGCGTCTCTGCTTCTCCAATGCAGAGGAAGAGCTGGTCTGCTGGTCCAGGAGCCGTTTTTGATGCGTTGGAAGAATCGGTCCTGGAGAAACCACCGGATGGGTAGGTAACAATGCATTGATCTTTTACTACCAATGATGATATATAATATACGCCAATCAGCTGAACATTTACTCTTGGTACGGTGTTTTTATTTGGCCAAAGGTCGATCACCTCTGCCGATTCACCGATTCACCAACCGAGCATGGCCCAACTGGCGATGTGGTTTTTTCCTCCCGAATAAATATCTGGACAGTAACATCCAAAGCTAAAATTCACTGGGACAGTTACAAGAATTTTTCCTTTCCAGGATGTTCTAGATGATGTTCCCACATCATTTCCAGACATATCTTAGGTTTCTAACTGTTTAAAACAAATATTTTTTGTTTGGTTCCTTTTTTTGGCGCCTCCACATTTCAAGTGTTCACCGGCATCGAAAGTGCCATACTTCCTTCAAAGCGGCGTTAGAGGCGTTATAAGAATGGATTGGTTTAAGGCAACATCTACAGGAAACCATTGATTTTCCCATGAATCATTGGGTTTTCAAAAAAATCCCTTACCCTCTGGTAAACTAACATAGCTATTGAAAATGACTATTTATAGTGGAATTTCCCATTGAACATGGTGATTTTCCATAGCTATGTTAGTTCACCAGAGGGTAATCCCCCGCTTCCCCTGGTTAGATGCCGCAGGAGCGACTTCGCAGAGGTGCTGCGACAGCAACCGGTGACGGCCGCGGAATCGGAGGCGCTGCGCTTCGACAAGATCTTGGGCGTGGACAAGGCAGGCCCTGACGTGGCGTTGATCAAATTGCAGCGACTTGGCGGGGGAATCATGGGGGAAATCAGGCATTTTTCGGGGGAAAATCATGGGCAATCATGGGAAATCAGCAGGTATATATATATATAATATATATATATATATAATATTACATTTCTGGCAGCTTGAAACCACCACACAGCATTATTTTTTGGAGGTATTTTCGTGGTTTAGCAACCTTCAATGTGAAGCGTTGCGTGACCCGATTCGTTTTGATGTAGCTAAGAATGAGGAATATGTACCACTTAAAACTGACGATGCCGCGGGGCGAGTGGTAGTAAACGTGTTACAATCATCGCAATGGGACCTCGGTTGGAGGTCCCATGGAAACACTCACGTTTCTTCCCAAGGATCGGGTATCCACCTCTTTTGTACACCGACTTCTTGTCCATGCTGCGGTTGCATGGCCATTGGTGGATCATTGCCAAGAGCAGCGACAGTGAAAGCTTCGAGTGAAAAAGGCGTATGGCGATGTCACCGCTGATTGCGATTTTGCCGACGAAGAATTGACTTTCACTGACTGTACGTAACTGAACCCGGACCCCAAAGGATTTCTTACACGCATAATTATATATATATAGATCTATATATTCTACAACCCTTTTGGTTGTTTTGGCTGTTTTGGGAAGTTGTGACTTGTGACTTGCCTTCCCCCATTTCTTACCCGAGATCCGCATGTCATGTTGGGGCCTCAGTGATCCACTTGTCCGCAGCTTCAGTCATCTCAGGATTGGCCTGAAAGATCAGTCAAAATGTTGAATCATTTGACATTTGATCATGGCAGGAAATCATGTCAAGGCACCATGGAAATCTTTGGAAATCACCTTCCATAAGTCCATGAGTTCATGAGTCCATGACATCATTTTTTCATCGCAAAACCCTTCAGGGCGCCTTTCAAAACAGCACTGGAACCAGGCCCCTTGTCTTTCCATTTTCCCGTTTTTCGCTGTCGTGATGCCGATGCCCGACAAGATCACCAACACCATATCAAGGAATGACTCAGAAGGCGAGCTGAGAGCACGAACAGCACCTTGATGGCAGGTGCCCATCCCGGGATCATCCAAGTTGTGCAGCAAATCACGGTCCAAAAAACAACCACCTGAGGACCTGAAAACAGATGAGTTATGATGATTTATGATGATTTGTGAGTGAATTCATCCCCCCCATGATTCATAAATCATGACCTTGAAATCTCAAACATCTTTGGGCCGCATCTTAGATTCATCACAGGTCTTGGCTTCCCTTTCTTCAAATTCCTGCGCTGAGGAGAGTGGCGTCAATGTGCTGATCCATGGGCAAGAAACCAAACAACTGGAGAAAACCTTAGATGAGTTGTCCCAACACCAGAATGCCCCAGGCCTCATGAGGATGATTTCGCCCCTTGGATGCCAGTCCGGTTGAGTTTGACATGCCAGTCTTGTCTAAAGGCGATACCAAACAAGGACCACCCGCATTACAGCTGCTCAGCAACCCCTCAGCGGTAGACAGAGACTGGTTAGCCGCTTAGCCTTCACCAAGTCACTTGGGAGGGATTCCATGGGATTCCCTGTCAGTTGCCAGCGACAGTTCACATGACCTGGACCATATGCTGAAAGTGAGGGGTGTGAACCTGGTGGAACATTCAGGAAAAGTGATGACAAGCAACCGTATGTCATTAAGACGACACTTACATGTTTACGCAGGAAGAGAAGACCAACTCACCAAGGGGGATCACCGCAGAGTTTCTACTTCAATGAAAAATCACAGCATGACGTGAGCCACTCGCCCCACATGCGCCATGGAGATCGAAGTGGACGAGGACGACGGTCCTCCGCCGGTGTCCCCGCCTCCCGTGGTGCCGCCGTCGCCCGCGCGGCGCGAGGACCGCACCGGGGAGCGGCGGCCCTCGAACTCGGTGGACGGCAGCGTTGCGTTGGGCACCCGCGGGAAACCACAGAAGGTGGTGGAGAAACCCAGCGCGGAAACCACGCGACTGTGCCGGGGAATGATATTGGGGAAGGGAGATGGGAAAAACGGGGAGAGGGTGGGGGTAGGTTCCTTTACCATCCTTTATTTGGGAGAAAAGTAGTGTATAGAACCTGAATATTGGGAAGATGTGGGGTCCCGCTGCTCCCCATCTCTCAGGTGGTATTTGCTCCAGGAGAAGAAGACCAAAGCTTTTGGTGATTGGTTGTCGCACTGGGAGGGGCAACGGGAGGTGAACATCAAGGAAACTCACCTGCAGTTCTTCACTTGGGTTTGTCCATTTTGGGAATACCGGAGTACCCCACAATGGCAACTTTTGTAATAAGGTTTAATAAGGAAATGAGCATACGCCATAGGATTTTGTTTCAGACAAACCTCGTTGTGTCACTTGAGCTATTTTCGAGGATGGGACGTAGTGGAGCTGCCTTCCTGGAATTCCTCATTTGTGCTGAGGACAAAGCCTTCGGATGGACCCCCATCCACTTCGCAGCACACAAGGGCGCCTCGCATTTCGTGAAGTTGCTGGCTGAGACTTGGACTGTGAGAATTGGATTGGAGGAACTATCCACAAGAAAGGCCTCGTTTCGTCTTGGTGAGTTGTCAATAATCCATCCATATTTTTACAATTTCATGTAAAAAGACATTGTATGACATACATT